AGATAATTTCATAGCAACAGTCCTTTGGGCATTATTGAGCTATCAATACAAAGTACAATGACAGGGACAAATCTCCGGATTGGACATTTTGAGTGTTAAAAGTGCCTGCACATTTTGGTAGGTCCATAGCTCTAGCCATGAGCTTACAACTGGGAAAGTCAAAGTGCCTAGTTTAAAGTAATGGAATCCACTTGCCAAAACAAATTTTAATGGTCTATTTGGAGAAACTAAGAGACAACAAAAGAGGGAAAATAGAAAAAAAAGTTAACAGAGTTGCAGCACAGAAAGGAATAAACAAGTTAAGATAAAGGCGGTACCTTGAAGTATATCTTGAACAACTGGCAAGTCACATATAATGCGCCCACACGTTTTGGACCTTTTCCCTATAATATATATACAATCTCCAAATCAAAAGACCTATGAAAGGCAATGTAAGCGATATCTGAAATAGGATGTTTCATGTCCATGGACAACCTATACTGTCCAAAACCGAAAAGTATGTTATAAAATGTTTCTATAACTTGATAATGTGGTCCACGATGCTTAGGAATATCAAATAGTTTACCACAATTAAATGTCAAAGTCAATCCATATTTTTTCGAACAACATAGATTTAAGTTTCTTGCTTCACTAGATTTTAACTCACAAGCACATACCTATAAAAGATGAAGAAATAAGGGGGGAAAACAATATAAAGGAAAAGAAGCAATGCAATCTTGGAACATACAGCAAGAACACCAAATACTTTCATCAGGAAAGAGCCAGCTCCTTTCAATTTCTCAGGCGATTTTCCATTAGAAGCCAACTCTTCATCAGCCTACAATAACACAAAAATATGAACTTCATCTTAACATAATCTTTAAAAGAGAAGAACAAAAGATAAAACTAAAAAAATTGAAAATAGTGAATGACCCACCCTCTCTGCAAGAATCCTAATTTCATAAGCAACAACATACAATGCCTCCAAAGCCCAAGCAGATTCCCAATTCCGAAACTCCTGAATGAAAGCGCTGCATATGATAATATTGATACACGAATAGTTAAACTGAGAGAAACAATTATTTTACAACAAACTACAGAACAAGAGGAGTAGACAACTGAAAATAAGCGGCAAACAGTAGTTGGAAGATTTTTCATATGGCAGCACTAATACACAAATAGCTAAATTCAGAAAAATAATTATGTTGTAGTAAACTACAGAACAATAGGAGTAGACAGCTGAAAATCAACTGAAAATAAGGGGCGAACATTACTTGGAAGATTTTTCGTAGGCATGGTAAGCATCGAGCAAGTTTCCAAGATGGTAACTTTGAAGAGAGCGAAACAGAGGGACCAAAATTTCACTAAACTGAGAGTACTTATCAGATTGTTTTATCAATCTATTAGCGTCCTGATCACAATTAAACCTAAAATCAATGATTTTAATTAATTGTCTCCATCAAATGTGTAGAGAAAGAGATTAAGATTGAACCTGGAACAAATTCAGGGCATCTGCGAGGGATAAGAGGGAAGGGGTGTTTGAGGAGAAAGAGAGGAGCTGACTGAGGGAGGCTCCATCTTGGGATGAAATGGAGTCTGAGAAGCGGTTAAGGTATTCTGTGATCCGCCGGTGTGCTTCTCCCATGCTTAGATGTGCCATTAATTATCTTGCTTTTCTTTTGGACACCAAATCATGCACTGGTCATGTAAAAAAAATTAGATCCCAAAATAGTGTATACTGAATAACAATCGTTAACAAAATTTGAGTTCATGCTCTTATTTCAAAAGAAAAATTGAGTTCATGTTCAATCTATCAATCACTATCATATGTGCAAGAAAGCAAACATTAATTGCCTGAAATATGAAAGAAAGCAAGCATTAATAGAGCAGAAGATAAAGACAAATGTTTTTGAAAAGAATAAAACGCACATGCACACCCCTCATTGGCAGTAAACAAGATGCATAACAGTAGCAGCATGTCAAAATGTATTTCGCAGGGATCCCTAATAGGAACCAAGTTGAATGACATTCCGTGAATTACAGCAAACAAAGTGACATTTAACCTCCAGTTAGCACACATTTTCACACATTGACACATATTAAGTTTTGAACCAAACAGTCTATTCACCATGACATATCCCCATACTGTTTCCTTACAAAACACAAGATGTCTCGTGTTGTAACCTTATGTGAATCCAAACAGATTGTAATTTTATTCTAGTCCTATTGGATTCCCAAGCAAGGAGAAACGCAAAAGAAAAATGAATAATGGATCCTCAACTCTCATTTCCAGCATACAAACAAGAAATGTTTGATATGGTCTTAACAAAGTTGGGACAGCCTACCAACTCATGAGAATGCCATGATTTCAACCACCCAAATCAGTTTTCCACCACAACAGCACCACAAATTAAACTGCAATTCTTCCCATTCAAGATCCAGCCAGACAAAGCTATGACTGAAGCAATATGGGTATTTTTTTCATTCAGCAGTATTCAAACAGACATAATGAAATTATATAAAAACCAGATAAAAGAAATAAGATGCTCGTGAAACATGCAAAAATAGATTTGATACAGATTCCTATGGATGGGGATATAAACTGTTGAAAGAACTGTCCATGTAAGGACATTGCAGCTAACCACACATGACTCAAATAAAAGAATCTCAATCAGGCACACCTTTCTACTACCCTCCTTGTTTTCATAAGTACTTAATTTTAAACAATGCTAACCAAGGGCCAAATGTAATCAGGAAAGACAATTGCAATCAAAGCCATGATACATGATGCAGTGAAAAAATCCATGCACCTAGAATCAGGCCAAACATTCACGACAAATTGATCACCATATCCAGGATATGTAGTCAGCCAACAAAACATAAGAACAAGAAAATAAATGAATAAACAGACTGCAACCTACCCAGTTACAACCATTAGTCTAATGTTTCTCTGGAGAAAACTACTCAGATAGTGGTCAAGCAGACCAGCTGTCACTTCAAGCCAAGTGTACCAGGTCATGATTCTAATTTAAACATTCCAGAAAACAAGATCCTCATTCTGACCAATTTCGGAGACAATAACTTTTACCATCTCCAATTGCAGTGTCTAAAGATATTAAAAGCTTTTCAGTATATCTAAGGTTGGCTGTTACATTCTTAACAAAAAATTTCAATTCTCAACAAGACACAATCCATAATTAGACAACAAAAGGAGGACCCCGTTCACCCTTACAACTATGCTTATTCATCCGTTCATGGTTGGTGATTATCCTACTTATCAGATTTAATTCAAAAAGGAAACTACGCAGTTGAACAATTGCAGAGAAGTAATGTTCTTTCAGACGGAATCTTCCAAATCTCTTTTCACAATAGCATGATAATCAATCTCATTCAACTTTATTTCATCATCATTAAAAGCACGTATCTTCCTCATAAAGAACTAACGATCCAAACTAATTGCAGTAGATGCTGTT